ATAATGAAGAAGGAGTTGAGTATCCATCAAGTTGTCTCCTTATATATTAATAGTTTCTGTTGCTGCTTCTGGCATATGTGAATAAGATTTGCACAAAAGACAAACAGGGCCATACATGCTATTCAAAACTGTTCCCAGTTGGGGCATTTATTCAAATTGTGATTTCATTTAAATAATTTCCCTTTGTACTTATACATGTAATTAAATAGCTTTGCTTCGAACTAAGCAGGTCAACTTTACATCATAATATAGAGAATAAATACTCTACAGCTGAAGTAATATTAAAGGAAGATTATATGGGACACTCAATTTAAACCCTGCTAATGGCAGGTCATGATTTTACTAGGTGAGGACACTAGGAAGAGGATTAAGATGGGAGGATATATTTTCTTACAGTAGAAGCAATGCAAGCAATGTAATAGAAACATAATGTTAAAATGAGGCACTTATCATGTTATCCTACCTCTCCACAAACCTTTCTTCATTTAATTTGTGCTAGAGAGAATGTAAACAGTTGCCCATACCCTTTGGGGTTGCCCCAAACTGAAATATTTTTGAAATGAGAGGTGTTCTTGGTAAATACTGTTAGATTTGGAGGCTGAAATGAATACCACTTAACAGCAACAAACTGTTTCTTTGATTATTTATGTAGAGAGCGCATATACTTAATCTGGTTGCTGCCATGGTATAATTTTTAAAGTAGACTGCTAAAGTGGACTACTTGCTATATGCAAAGACACACACAGAAAACCAGTACATAGCATACACATTAATGTAATGTTTGGACTCCCTGATCCTATGGTTATTTTTGAGAATATAGACCTTTGATCACCAAACTAAAAAGTAAATATGGATATATATAAAATTGCTGGGAAGAAGGCACTTATTAGGACTTGAAAATCACCTTAAATGTTAAGTACAGGTTGGCTATTTGAATTTTAAGCCATAACAGAAAGGTTGATTTAAAGATACATTCAGATTGTTTATATTGTTTCAAGTGCAATCAGAGTAACAACATTTGAGGGTTGCAGAGAATTTCCATGGACAGTAATGGAAGTTTTGCATAGGAGGGGTTTGGTGCAATATGAGAGCACTCCTATCCAAGAAGAGAATTTTTCTTTTATTGTGAATCTCATTGTAACAAACTGGTATATGTGCACACACATACTTATTCCTATCGTAGTACTTAGCTGCCAGTCTGTGGAACAACACTGTAAACTGGAGAAGTTTTTTTAAAACTATGAGCCCCAACAAGGATTGTTTTTTCTTACCCACGTGGAAACATATGTGGAGTAAAATACGGACCCCATTGAAGTCAGTTAAATTTGATGGAGCCAGGATTTTTATCCCTGATTGGCGTATCCTTATGATAAAAGCCATTAAAAAGGACAACTGAAAAAGTATGTTATTTTTAAGTTCAAATAATCTTTAAAGTTCACGTTCAATGACAGCTGTGTTTTTGTGAAATGAAAATGTTTTTAAAATGTTTTACATTCCCAACAGAGATGTTACAGTGTGAAGACTCTACGAGGCCAGAAATGGCAGTTAGATCCTTGGAAGTTCTCTGTTTAGCAAAAGATTTCTACTGGAAATGCATTTTGGATTCAGGTGATATAAATAGCATAGCAAGTATACTTGATTTTATTTTAACATCTTAAAGCCATAAGTTTTCATAAAATTAATTGGCTGTCATGTCATCATTCATTATCAACAATACTAGTGCATAAACAAAGAGTCTCCAAAGGTGCTACAAAGCAAAACTGTGATAATTTCAGCTCAGTTCAAAACCGAAGGTTTAAAATGTATATTAAATGAAACTCTAACATGGGTCACAAGTGTAAAAAAGCTGCTTAACTTTAAGGATAGTTTCAACAACCTGAAGGAAGGCTTTAAAACAGGATTTCAAGAGTGAGGAGAAGTAGTAAAAACTGACATAAATAAGGGTCTGGCTGGGGCCTCTAAAATAAAAATGCCTCTGCATTGGTTTAGTCCTTGTTCATTTGGCAAAAGTAGTATTTTATTGTGTGTCTGGAGTTGGAATGGAGTTTCCATTAGATTATAATATTTGAAGGTGGATTAAATTTTAGGCCTTGGCATGTTAAGTGTCCCTGTCATTTGTTTTTATTTTTGAAATTACTAAAATATTTCATGTAATTCTCATAAACTCAGTTTAAAATAAATAATAAGCAAACGTGATATTGGATGCCTGTCACACTGACTATAATCATGGGTTTGTTTTCTTATTTATTGCAGGTGCTATCCCCTCTCTAATCAATCTGTTGAAAGGCCATCAGATCAAGCTGGCATGTATAACATCAGGGGTGTTGAGTAATATTTCACCACACATCACCATTTCTAAAGCTTTAGTAGAAGCAGGAGGCATTTCAGTATTAATTGAATTGTTGGGTTCTGGTGAACCTGAACTGCAATCTCGCTGTGCTGTTATCCTATACGATATTGCCCAGTTCGACAATAATCAAAATATCATTACTGAGCTGGTGAGCCTAATTCAGAACTGTTAGTTATGTTCACAGTTTTTACTTTCTTTAAAAGGACTGGATTTTTTTAAAATCCTTTGTTTTTTCAATATGAAGTAATTTTCATAGTTGATGAAACCTATTTGACATCTTTTGTTCCATTTATTTATATATACTGTGAGGCACATGGAATGTAATTGCAATGGCTTTTTCTTTGGGATTGTTCCATATTACATTCATATGCTTTTTTTCCTTCCTTAGGGTGGAATCCCTCCTTTGATAAATCTTTTGAAAATTAAATTACAGGATTTGTTAGTTAATGTAATAAATTGCATCCGGGTGTTATGCATCCAGAACAAACAGAATCAAAGCACAGTGAAGGAACATCAGGGTATTCCAGCACTTGTTCAGTTTCTAACTTCACAATCAGGTAAACTTTTATTTTTACATGTTCGTTTAATATTCTTACTCTAGACATTTGAAAAAAAAGGAAACTCTGCATATTAGTAATGATTTGAGTATTATTATATACTCCTGGGGGAATTCTGCAACAAAAAATTGAAAATTCTGCACATAATATTTTCAAATTCTGCATGTTTTATTTGTCAAAATAACACAATCTAATCACACCAGTTTCAATTATTATTGGTCATTTATGTCAAAATACCTGTCAGCAAGTATGTCTGTAACAATACAGACAACAAAAAAGATTCAGGAAATGTTTTTTGACAAATAGATTACTTAGTCATATGAATACAGAACTCTGAGTAATAATTCATTTCAACTACAATGCAGAACTGTATTTCCCGCACCTCTCAGAAGCAGTGCAAAGCCTTGGGGGAGTCAGGGGTAATGGAGGAGCTGAGGGAGAGGGAAGTAATTGCTGGGAAGGAGCCTGGATGTGAATTTGGAGCAGGGTGGATTTGATTTAAATCACTAGTCAGGAAGGCTCGATTTAATCATTGTTTTCTACATAAAAGTGCATTCTTGTTGGTTGTTATAACCTTAATACATATACTTCACAACTCAGAGACAGATGTAGGTTTCATTTTTAGAAGGTACACACTGTACATTTTTGAAGTGATTTATTTTGAAAACTTTTCAGATTAGTTTTACAGCTATATCAGAAAATGAATGATTGTTTGGTTATTTCATTTACCAAAGGTAATTGAAGCAGATATTTATGAAGCCATTGGTAGGTGAACTATCTCCAATTCAACTGATTAATCATTAATATTTGGAGGATTTTCTTGCCATGCTATATTAGGAGGAGAACATCACCAGGCAGACATTTAAATTGTTTTATTTAACTATTTCTCACCTCTATATATTATTTATTTATTTTAAAACATTTTTGCTGTTAACAAGCATGTTATCTCTGGAGACACAAATCCACAATTTGAGAACTGCAAAACTAAGCCTCTCTGATGGTATCTTCTAGACTGAGCACTGAGTCCCATGGGTAGATAGAAAGATTAACCTAAATTATCTATACAGAAGCCCCTGGAACTCCATAAGATTGGATCCCTAATTCATGAACTATTGGAACTCATTAACAAAACTTTTCTTAAACCTTACATGAATATATTGTGTCATTCTATAGAATTAGAATTTATAATCCCTATTCCATGATGAGATATCTTTGAGCTATAATGTATCTTAATTAAAACTATCTTTAGATAGGTGTTTTCCTCAAAAAGCATTTTATCTAAAAAATCCAATTTAAATAAAAAAATATTTTTATCCACCTTGACTTGGAGGGTTGTTGGGTATGGATGGGAAAAGTATGGAACAGTTTTTTTGGGGGAGGGGGTGAGAAGGGAGTGCTAGGGAGCTTCCCCCATCCAGATCCTGGCTGACCCCTAGCCTCTCCCATTCAGTCAGGCACATCTGTCTGGTCCCCATGTGTCCTTGCACCTCCTGTCCACAAATGTCTCTCCACCTCCACTCAGACACTCACTCCCCCCATCCCCATGTGCCCCTGCACCTCTCTCCTCCCTGTGGTCCTGTGCCTCTTCTCCCATTCAGCCCCTGCCCCACTCTGGCCTCCCCCACTAGCCCTTATCAGCCTCTATCTGACCCCCCCAGCAACCTCACACTGTCTGTCTCCCCATAGCCCTTGTCTCCTGACCCGACCCGACAGACACTGTGAAAAAGGCAGGCTCTTTCTCTTCCCTAGCTGGCCAGAAGCTGCTGCTCTGTTCTATAACCACAGCACCCTCTGGTGGGAAAAAGGTGGAACTGCAGCAACTTTCCGGCAGAAGCTTTTTTCTAAGCAAAAAAATAAAAATATGACTCATTAATTATGCATGTGCACAGTGGTGCAGAATTTCCTCAGGAGTACCTATTTTTGCTTGATTGTTGTAGGGTCCGATCCAAAGCCACTGGAGTCAGTTAAAAAAAATCCCATTGACTTCAGTGGGCTTTGAATCAGGCCCTTGTTGCCCATGTTAATGTTTTGCTACTTAGACAAGTTTTTCACAATATTTCCATGCAAGTTACTTTAAAATTGCCTTCAGACTGGGTAAATTTGTTTACAAATCAGGCTTTAATACAGAATAATTTGCAGACCCTGAAAGAAAAAGACATAGGAGGGTAGATTGGCAGGGGAAATTCTGTGCTCAATTCTACCCTGTGCAACTTAATTGATTTGAGTGGAGTTGCATTGGTGTAGAATTTTACTCACTATTTTTTCTTTTTCATACTTTGGTTTTCATTTATAACAACCCAAAGTATATGAGATCAAGTCCTATATGTACAATTTATACATGGGTGATAATACAATATTCATGCAATATTAAGGTTAATAATTTATCTGCAAAAAGCTTACAAGAAGTGTTCTACCTAATCTCCCATGTTCTTGACCTGTAAAAATATTTTCTTCTTGCAAGATTTCCATAAAATCAAGATAGTACTGCTTTGTGCAACCACCAAGTTTAACCAACATTAAAGTTCACAGGGCCACATTACTGATGTGGATGACATTTTTTGGGCATCTGACAATCGTAGCCTTAGGATTTAAATTTGAAGAATATCCAGAAGTCAGAAATGACTAAATGTTTAGTCAGCATTTTAGCTATCTGTATCAGTACGCTACAAGTGTATTTAGCCCTAACATCTCTCTGGAACACAATTACTCCTAATCTGAAATAAAATCTTCTAATAAAAAAAAGAGAGAATTTTGTTGATTCTTATCACTGTTTGACTAATATTTTATGCATTTAAAGATGTGCTACAGGCTGTATCTTCAGCAGCTCTTGCAGAACTTGCTCGGGGGAATGAGAAGATACAGGATGCCATTGCAAATGCAGATGCAATTGGTCCTCTGGTTGAACTTCTCCGTGGAAGGAAAATCACTGTGCAGGTGAAAGGTGCTATGGCTATAGAAGCACTATCGGATAACAACACGCATATACAGAAACTGTTTCTGGAAAAATCAGCAACAAAATATCTTTTAAAGCTCTTGAAGGCAAGAATTTATTTCGCATTTTTATTTTTCTAAAGTCTTAAATCAATTTGTTCATTAGAAAAAAGCGTAAAATAGGCTGTTACTTGGAATAATTGGAAAACCCTTAATATCATGGAGTAAATAGTTTTTTAAATGTGTAAGACTTAAAATTCTGCTAGTGAAGGAAAAACTTTGTTTTTTTCAAACTTTCAGGCATTTCACTTGACAGTTAAGGAACAAGGTGCTACAACTTTGTGGGCACTGGCAGGACAAACACTGAAGCAGCAAAAGCTTATGGCAGAACAGATTGGGTACAACTTTATTATTGATATGCTCCTGTCACCATCTGATAAAATGCAGTATGTTGGTAAGATTTTGTTGTTTGTTTTGCATAAATTTGCAAAATATTGGAAGTTTATTGGAGGTTTTTAAACATACATTTTTGCTTTGTTTTGGAAGGAGGTGAAGCAGTCATAGCTCTTAGCAAAGATAGTAAACTTCATCAAAATCAAATATGTGAAGGAAATGGAATTGGTCCTTTGGTTCGATTGTTGAGAAGCACAAAGATAGCAGAGGGCACGCTCCTGAGTGTCATCCGAGCTCTGGGGACCATTTGTATTGGTTTGTAGAATTTCTTATGTTTTAAGTTTGTTACAAAAAAACAAAACAAAAAAAAACCAAACCTTAAGTGGTTTTGAATGGGAAAAATGCAAACCAGTTTGAAACAATATCAATGAAAGAAGAAAATATTTTATTTAGTATTAAATATGGATAGAATTGAAATATAACTTTTCAATATAAGGAAAAATCATTTGCCATGAACAAGTATCAGGGGGTAGCCGTGTTAGTCTGTATCTACAAAAACAACAAGGAGTCTGGTGGCACCTTAAAGACTAACAGATTTATTTGGGCATAAGCTTTCATGAGTAAAAACCTCACGAAAGCTTATGCCCAAATA